GTGAAGCGGTTGAAGCTACCTCGCTGAATGTTTTTAAGGCAAGGCTCGATAAATTTTTGAACAGTAAAGGAATTAAGGGATATGGTGAGTGGGCGGGTAAGTGGAGCTGAGTCTCAAAAAGATCAGCCATGATCTTATTAAATGGCTGGGCAGGCTTGATGGGCCAGATGGCCTACTCCTGCTCCTAGTTCTTATGTTCTTATGTACCACTGTTTGTTATACCAAAATGCAATACCTAACATTTATCCAAATTGAACTCAGTTGGAGAGAAACTTGTAGGTGATTTCTTCTAGTATCTGCTGCCCTTGTCCTTCTAGAAAGGTAGTCCAGTTCTGTTTCTGGTTAATTAAATAACAAGATGTTGATAGTGGAGAATTCAGTGATGGTAATGCCATTGAATGTCAAGGAATATCAGTTAGATTCTCACTTGTTAAAGATGGCCATTGCCTAACATTTCTGTGGCACGAATATCACTTGCCATTGGTCAGCCCTAACCTGGTTATTATCCAGGTCTTGCTCTATTTGGACAATGACTGCTTCCATAAGACCACAAGATATAGGAGCAGGAGGTCCTTTGGCCCATCGAGTCTGCTCCACCATACGATTATGGCTGATATGTTTTTCAACCCCATTCTCCTGTCTTCTCCCTGTAACCCTTGATCTCTTTACCAATCAAGAACCTCTCAATCTCTGTCTTAAATGCAACCAATGACTGGGCCTCCACAGCCTTCTGCAGCAATGATTTCCACAGATTCACCAACTTCTGGTTGAAGAAATTCCTCCACATTTCAGTTCTAAAGGGTCATAACTTCACTCTGTGCCCTCGGGTCCTAGACATACCTTATCCACATCCATTCTATCAGGCCTGTCAGTATTCTGCAAGGTTACAATGAGATTCCCCCCTCATCCTTCTAAACTCCATCAGTATAGAACCAGAGTCCTAAACCACTTTTCATATGACAAGCCCTTCATTCCCAGGACCATTCTTGTAAAACTCCTCCAGACCTTCTCCAATGCCAGCAGATCCTTCCATAGATACAAAGTCCAAAACTGCTCACAATATGCAAAATGCTTCAGTGTCTGAGGAGTTGTGAATGGTGCTGAACATTGTGCAATCATCAATAAATATCCATCTTCTGACCTTATTTTGGACAGAGTGTCACTGATGAAACAGTCAAAGAAGGTCAGACCTAGGACTCTACTCTGAGGTATTCTTGCAGAGGTGTCCTGGAGCTGAGATGACTCACCTCCAAAAACCACACCCATCTTCCCTTGTGCTAGATATTACTCCAGCCAGCAGAGAGTTTTCCTCCTGATTCCCATTGATTCTGGTTTTGCTAGGACTCCTTGATGCCACACCTGGTCAAATGTGGCCTTGATGTCAAGGTCTGTCACTCTCACCTCACCTCGATTTCAGCTCTTTTATTCATTTCGAACCAAGCCTGTAATAAGGTCAGGAGCTGAATGGCCCTGGCAGAACCCAAACTAAGCAAGTTATTTCTAAGCCAGTAATGCTGGATAGCATTGTTGATGACCCTTTGCATCACTTTGCTGATGATCAAAAGTAGACTGATGGGCCGATAATTGGCTGGATTGGATTTGTCCTGATTTCTATGTATACATCTTGTATGGACAATTTTCTGTACTGCCAGATAGATCCCATTGTTGTAGCTGAACTGGAACAACTTTGCTATGGGTACAGCAAGTTGTGGAGCATGAGTTTTCAGTACTATTGCTAGATGTTGTCAGACCCCCTAGTCTTTGTAGTATCCAGTCCCTTTAGCTGTCTTTTGATGTTAGGCAGAGTGAGTTGAATTGGCTGAAGACTGGTCTGTGATGCTGCAGACCAAAATTCCCCGTATACCACACATTCCAATCATTGTGCGAACAAATTGGCTTCATTTGCTTACCTTCATGTTTTTAAGGGAATTGACAATTACTAACAAATGACCATATATCATGGGAAGTACCATACTGCATAGCCTTCAGTGCAAGTGAAAGAGGTTTGTTTCTAAAATCCATATTTTGTTTCAATAGGTATTCAGAAAGAAGGCAAGCTAAAACCAGTTTTGCATGTAAGGTATGAGTAAAGATTTAATCTGCTCAATTTTTTAAAAAATTGTTTCTTCATAGGTTTTGAGTCTCACTAACAAGATCAGTTTTTATTACCTCAAAGGTGGTGATGAGCTGCTTTTTTGAGTTACTATGGTGAAGGGACCCCCATGTTGACATTAAGTGGAGACATTGGGGATGTTGATCCAGCAGGTTTGAAGCAGCAGTGATACAAGGCTGAGTATAAGGGATGGAGCCAACATCCATTGTTATCTAAAGAAATCAAAGAAAGTAACAAGCTTGAAGAAAATGCATAAATGTGCAAAGGTAGGTGACAGGTCAGAAGATTGGATGGAATATAAACAACAGTGAAGAATAACTAAAAAAAACATAAAGATGGGAGAATTAAGTATGAGAGAAGGTTTGCCAAAAATATAAAAACAGACAGGAAAAGTTTCTTCAGATATTTAAAAAAAGAAAAGAATTAACAAAGCGAATGTTGGTCTTATAGAAAATGAGGCTGGGGAGTTAGTACTGGAGGATAAAGTGGCGGTAGATGAATTGAACAGATATTTTGCATCAGTCTTCACTTCAAAGGTCACAAGTAGCTATAAATCAGGAACTGAAAAGAATGGAGAAACTCAAGAAAATTACAATTACTAGGGAAGTAATACTGAGTAAGTTGTTGAACCTGTGAGTTGACCATCCAGAGTCCTGATGAATTTCATCATTGTGTCTTAAAAGCAGTAGCAAATGAGGTAGCTGATGAATTGTTTTAATTTACCAAAACTCATTAGATTCGAGGAAAACTAAACAAAAAAATACCCCAAGAACTACAGATGCTGGAAATCAGAAACAAAATCAGAAATTGCTGGAAAAATTCAACAGGTCTGGCAGCATCTGTGGAGAGAACGCAGTGTTAATGTTTCAGGTCCAGTGACACTTCTATAGAACTGAGGTTCTGAAACTGAGAACTGCCAGACCTGCTAAGTTTTTTCAACAATTTCAGATTCGGGGAAGAGTCCTTTTGATTGGAAAATAGCTAATGTAACTGCTATATTCAAAAAAGGGGAGAGGCAGAAAGCAGGAAAGTACAGGCCAGTTAGGTTAACATCATAGGGAAAATGTTAGGAACTATTACTAAAGATGTTGTAACAGGGCACTTGGATAAATTTGAGGTAATCAGGCAGAGCCAGCACGGTTTTATCAAAGGGGAATCTTATAGAAGGTCACTACATGAGAAGTTTAAAAAAAATCATTGGATGTGGGTGTTGCAGCTAGACCAGCATTTATAGCACATCCCAAATTGCCACGAAGGTAATTAACAGCAAAGCACATTGCTGTGGGTCTGGAGTTACATGTAGGCCAGACCGGGTAAGGATAGCAGATATCTTTCCCTGAAGGATATCTGGTTTATTTTAAATGGCTATCTACAGTGGTTACAAGGCTAGGTTTTAATTCTCAATTTTTATTTAATTCAAATTTCACCATCTACTATGATGGGATTCAAACTTATATTCCCAGAATATTAACAAAAACAGAAATTGCTGGAGAAACTCAATGGGTCTGGCAGCATCTGTGAAGAGAGTTCACGTTTCCAGTCTGATTGAATGCTGCTGAGTTTCACCAGCACTTTCTGTTTTTGTTTCAGATCTCCAGCATCCAGTTCTCTGTTTTATCAACAGAACATCAGCTTGGGATTCTGGCTTACAAGTTTGGAGACATTAGCACTTTACCACCATCTCCCCTGTTTGTCTGGGATTCATGTCCAAATGATCCCATTGCAGAAGATCTGTGACTCCGTAATTAAACAAAGAACTGCGGATGCTAGGGATCTGAAACAAAATCTGAAACTGCTTGTAGAAACTCGGCAGGTCTAGTAGCATCTGTGGGGAGAGAAAACGAGTCAACGTTTTAAATTCTTCATCAGCAGTTATAAAAAAGTAGCATTTATGCTGAAGAGGAGTTTGGGGTGGAGGTGATCAGATAGTGGAGATGGAGCCCGGAGAGAAAGCCATATGAAAGGGAGACAAGGGGATTATTGATAGTAAGCCAGGACATAAATGATAATGAGAGCCAATAGTAGGAAAGAATGGGTCAGCTGTGCTGAAAACAAACGTGTCATGACAGGACCAGGGTCAGGGGCTAGGTAAAAAAAAACATGGAAGTACGTAATCAGGCTTGATCCCTAAAGGCTGCATGGCAGCCAAGTGGAAAATGAGATGCTGTACTTCCAGCTTGCGTTCAGCCTTGTTGGCACAACCTTTTTGTAATTTCAAAAATATACCTTATTAAAAAATCTCTGTATAAATACATTGTCATAAATACAGTTCGGTTCAGTACAGTAGCATATCAAATAAAAAAAAACACTTGAGTTTGACTCTATCCTAACAAATCAAAGGCATCTCTGGAACACTGTAGCAAGCCCGAGGCAGAGGTGTTGGGGGTGGGGACACAGTGATGTATTGAAGTGACAGGCAAGTGGAAGTTCGGAGTTACTTTTCCGGACAAAATGACTCTATTTTGCTTCCTGTCTTGCATCTCTTTCTGCCCTCTAAGTTGCCAGGCACCGTGCAATGTGCAAACAGGTCTCCCCGAGCAGGAGAGCGGAGCTGGTAAACAGCAACAACAAAGTGACCATCTCACCACGGAGCCATACAAAAATGCAGAAACCCATAAAGGAGTTGCGGTGATATAATGTTTCAATTATTTCCTTCCACTTGTTTTGTTGGAAGTGACGCAGCCTAACAGCATCTTGTCCGGAAGTATTTACCAGAAAGAGTGAAAGTGTTGTCAGTGAGATGTTGGACTATTAGGGAGCGGTCTCTCTGCTCTGTCCCAGGGCTTGGTCCCGGAGGCAGCTGCTCGAAACTCGGAGGGAATTTCACCAGCGGCCGCTCCCAGAGCCCAGGCTAGCAGCCGGCACTGCCAAGAGGTTGACAAGTCTCAATCTATAAATTATTCTCGATTTCCATTAGACACGCTGCAATGGGGTCACAGACAAAATAAGTTTCCGGAGAGAGAAACCAACCAGGGAAAGGAAACAAAAACAAAATGTTGCTGGAGAAGCGCAGCAGGTTTCGTTCCATCAGTGGGGAGAGAAATAAAAAGTTAACGGTCTGAAGAAGGGTCACTGGACTCGAAATGTTCGTTCTGATTGGCGAAATGGAATCGGTTTACTAATGGTGTTTAAAATTCAGGAACAAAAACAAAGTTGCTGGAAAAGCTCGGCACGTCTGGCAGCATCTGTAAAGGAAAAAACACAGTTAACGTTTCGGATTCGCTGATACTTTCTCAGAATCTTTTTTTCCTTCACGGATGCTGCCAGACCTGCTGAGCTTTTCCAGCAACTTTGTTTTTGTTGGTGATTTACAGCATCCGCAGTTCTTTGTTTTAGTTTAAAATTCAGATCAGCTCCAGTTCGTGGAACCAATGGTCTGATCTGACTTGTATTCCTGGTATCTGCTATAGCCTGGTTTGTAGTTCTGTAAAAGTGCAATACAACACTGCTGTATTGCTGTAGTACCCACTGATACTGGATTAATGGTCAGGAGATTTCAGTTCAAAATCTTTTTTTAAAACGAAACCCTGGAATTAAAAGCCAGCATCAGTAATAGTCACTGTGTACCCAAATGGTCATAACTGTCCCTACCATGCCCAGGGCTGGGTGGTGGCACTTGAACTAAGAGTTTCTAGCCCAGAGGTAGGGACACTACCCACTGCTCACCCTGCCAATGGAACGGGGAGCTCAAATAATGAGAAGCGGACATTGAACTTTAATTGCCCCTCGCTTTATGTGATGTCAGAGTTTTCAGGCTGTTATTGTATATACATGAGCAGATGAGATTTTATGATCAGGATTCAGCTTTTGGTTTCCATGTGTACCGATTAAAAACTGACCTTGGATAAGGGACATTTCATTCTGCCTGGACATATTTTGTGAATCGTATATTGTATCATATCTATACATCACTCATCTATTGCAGAACAAATACTTTGAAGGAGTATCAGGGGAATGCTTTTTACTGTTTGTTAACTAATGGTTTGTGCATCTTTTGTCATTAAAGGGACAGCATGGAGTCCAATTGCAATGAAGACAGTGAGACCCCATCACCAAACTTAATGCCACGGCATAAAGAACTTGTACCTACACCGTGCGGTCCAGTAAGTCTAACATGTTTGTGATATTTGCAACTCTGAAATGATCGTACATAAGCATGTTAAGTTAACATAATGACAAGCTGATCGCATATTATCGGATCCTGTGAATACTTTCCTCACTGACTAATAACTATAATAACTCTAATAACTATTGCGGTTCTTGTTCTCTGGGGATGTGCTACTTTTTCTTTTAATCAGGAGACGGATATGGATTAAACGAGGGAGAATTACAGACATATCCCCATACATGCATTATACTCAGATCAGGAATCTTACTTTAAATTCAATGTCAACATTGTTACATTGATGGTCATTTCCAATTTGGAGAATTTCTTTTGGAACTCCTACACATCCCCATCATTCTTGATTCTGAGTTCCTGTCACATGTTGTGAAAGTTTTTGATTTCACTAAATAACAATGCAGCACAGGAACAGGCTCTATGGCCCTCCAAGCCTGTGCTGATGCATTTTGCCCTTTACTAAAACTGTCTTCACTTACAGGATCCATATCCCTCTTTTCCCTTCCTATTCATGTATTTGTCCAGGTGCTTCTTGAATACTGCTATTATGTCTGTTCCACCACCTCCTCTGGCAGCGCTGTCCAGTGTGGAAAACGTGCCTTGCACATCTCTTTTAAACTCCCCCCACCCCCCACCTCGCACTTTGAACCTGTGTCCCCTAGTAATTGACACTCTAGCCTGGGAAAAAGCCTCAGACTTTCTACTCTATCCATGCTATTTGATTCGTTTTGATTTCATTTCATTCCATAAACAGTTACCCTGAAGAAGATAATTTATTTTCTGCAGCTCCTATTTAGGATCACTCCCTGGCCTGGACAGTAAATGTGACCGATGAGCCATTAGCTTACTCTTACACACACTGTAACTGAATGAATGAAGTGTTTCATTATTTATTGATTCAGAAATGTGAAAAGAACATTCTTATTTATTCAATGTGATTGGGTGATTTTCTATTGCACCTGCTGCAGAATTTCACACATTGGCTGCAAGTGAGTTATAAACAGCTGAAAATACTATACAGTAGCATTTTCTTCACAATAAAGTGTTTGGAGACTGTTCTGTCTGACAAAATGTGACAGTGAGGCAGTGATGTAGTGTAGGGTCACTGGACTATTAATCCAGAGCCCCAGGCTAATGTTCTGGGAAACATGGATTTGAATCCCACAAAACAAATAACCAAAAGAACTGTGGATACTTGAAATCAGAAACAAAAACAGAAATTGCTGGTAAAACTCAGGAGGTCTGGCAGCATCTGTGGAGAGAAAGCAGAGTTAATGTTTCGAGTCCAGTGATCCTCCTTCTGAACTGGACTTCAAAACTTCAAAAGCTGAGTCCAAATGAGATGTGAATTTAAATCTCATTAAATCAAGATACTGAAAGGGGATTGACAGGTTGATACTGAGAATTGTTTACCCCTCGCTGGGGAATGTAGAACTTGGGGGAGAGGGTACAGCCTTAGGATAAGCAGCTGATTACTTAGGATTGAGCTGAGGGGCGATTTCTCCACTCGGAAGGTTCTGGATGCTCCATTGTTGAATGTATGTAAGGTTAGGATGGACAGGTTTTTCAGTTCTCAGGTAATGGCCAGGAGAATGAAGCTGACCTCAAGATGAGCCATGGTCGTATCGAGTAGCAAAGCAGGTTTGACTGATTACCTTCTCCTGCTCATATATCTTATGTGGAACCATTGCTATATCTTTTCATAATCATAAAGACCTTCATTAAACTGTGTGTTTCCAAACAAAGCAGATAGTGCCTGTTTAAAAATAAACTTCCAATGTACATGAAATAGAGAAACAAAAGAATCTTTTCCCTCTCTCTTCACAGATGAAACAATGTTCGGAATTATCTTGTTTAGAGAAGTTATTTGTTGCTGTAGCAATTGTCTCTCTCATTGCTGTGTCGGTAGTTACAAGCCAAAGTATTGTAATTCAGGTGAAAAACGACAGTAAAGATCCAACCCAGGAAGACTTCACCATCTCAGTGATACAGCTCATTGGAATCGGTAAGACCTTAATTTACTGTGAATGTGTGAAGATGCATTGCCATCTTAAAGCAGTAGACCAGAAATTATAATGAAAGTAAAATACTGGGGATGCTGGAATTCTGAAATAAAAATCAAAAGTACTGGATAAACTCAGCAAGTTCTGGCAGCATCTGTGGAGAGAGAAACAGAATTAACATTTTGAGTGCAATAGACTCCTCTTAAGATTAGAAACAATTGTGAGTTATATTAATGAACAAATATTTATTGTGTGTGTATGACATTCCACTGTCTGCTTACTTTAAAGCAGTTGTTATTTAATGGGTTAAAAATGGGTTTGAATGACAACTTCACTGGCAGAAAGCTCTCGCTTTTGTGCATTTTGTTTAACCAATCATGCATGATGAGTTTTGCTCATGTTTTAGGATCACAGTCCAGAATTTGTTTGCTTTTCTAGGATAACTGAAAACCCACTGGCCTTACATGTGTAAAACAATGACAGTGACTGTGTAAAGACCCATGAACATTTTGTGTAGCAAAGTGCTTCAAAGCTGCAGCGATGGTCGTTACTGTGTCAGCTGTGTTACAGAGAAAAATTATTGTGCAGTTTTTGTAGTGGTAAATTTGGACATGTTGAAGGGGGTGTGGCTAAATGTCAGGGACTGGTGTAGGAAAGTTGACACTTTTTCCATACTTTCTCCAACATTTTGTAGGGTGTTGCCATTCTGAATCTGGAACTAAAACTGGAAGTCTTTGTTACAAGTTACAATGAGGTCAAACTCAATGAACACGCCACAGAAAGCATGTCTATGTACATATCTTCTGATAGAGCTGTCTACTGCAACGTCTATGGTCCTTTCTCAGAGATGGATCAACAGAAAACTGTGTGTTCCACCAAAGAGACTGGTTGAAAACTGTTTATCATTTCCAATTCAAACAAAACTCGAGTGTCAGTCCGGACTGGAATCTGAACTCACAAGCTGAGAGCCAAATCTTGCATCCCAAGACTGCCCTAAATTATTGAAAGAGATAAGATTAATTTTTCCACTTGTTTGGTTATGGTTCAAATTTCCAAACGTCAAATCTTATCAACAATAAGGATTAAGAAAATATTTTCTAGTTGACTGGTAGCAGCAGACAGGAGAGTATTGAGGAATATGCATGGTGAAATTTTTGGGGCATTGGTCAGGTCAATCTAGCTAATCTCTGGTGATGGTCATGCAGCATACACGAGAGGCAGTGGGAAATGCCGAGCAGAAGTTTGGAACCTTTCATTTCCGAATTGCAGGTGGTGGCCAACTCCATGGCTGCAAATGCAAACCTAACGGAGCTTCTCCCCTTTCACAGTAACCACCCAGTCTCTCAGTGCTGCAGGGAAACTCAGACCACAATCATGAGAACTGTGCACACTCAGACTCAGTTTTGATTGGCACCGACTTGATGGGCCAAAGGGCATTTTGCCGTGCCGTAGATCTGTAATGACAGACTGCTGCCATTGTGGCTCTGGATCCCAGTGTTCAAAGGGATATGTGAGCCCTCACAGCAGTTCAACAAACTCTTTTCCAACAAATTTACAAGAATTCCTGGTTTGCCACCTGGTCAGCATGAGAACTAGGAGCAGGAGGAGGCCATTCAGCCCCTCGAGCTTCTTCTGCCATTTAATACAATCATGGCTGATCTCACTTCAGCCTCAACCCCACTTTCCTGCCCACTCCCCATAACCCTTTAACCTGTTACTAATTAAAAATCTGCCTCTGTCCTCCCTAATTTACTCAATGTCACAGCATCCACCACACTAATTCCACAGATTCAGGACCCTTTGAGAGAAGTAATTTCTCTTCATCTCTGATTTACATTGAATACCCCTTATCCTAAAGCTATGACCTTGTATTCTCAACATGAGGAAACATCCACTGTACATTTACTTTGTCAATCCCCTGTAGCATGTTATATACCTCAATTAGATCTCCTCTCGTTGTTCTAAACTCCAGAGAGTATAGACCTAAACTGCTTAACCTCTCCTCATAAGACAAGCCTTTCATCTCTTGAATTAATCTAGTGGACTTTCCTGTACTACCTCCCATGCAATTTCATCCTTTTCCAATTAGGAGACCAAAATATGCAACAATCCAGATGCAGGCTCACTAATACCTTGTACAGTTGCAACAACACTTCCCTGCTTTAATACTTTATTTCTTTACCAATGAATACCAAAATTGACAATACATGATTCAATTCAATTCCATTTGCCCTCCTTATTACCTGCTGCATCTGCATACCAGCTTTCTGTGACTCATGTACAAAAACACCCAGATCCGTCTACACTGAGGCATTTTGAAGTTTCCAATGACTCCATGAGCACTAACCTGATGACTTGCCTCAATATTCATGCTCCCACCACTGCCACTCCGCAGTGACTCTCTGCTGGTGTCCCTTGTGAGATAGTGCAGTCCAAAGCTGGGCTCTCAAGGCCCAGGGCTCTTTGAAGGCATCCTGTAAGACCATCTACTGCCTTTCCCTGAAAGTCAGCAGCAATCCTGCACCACTCAGCTAGCACTGTGTAGGAGCACCACAACAAGCAAAGGCAGGCACCACGGGAATACACAAGGGTGAATAGTTCCTCGTGGTTTGTACAACTTGATATTTTATTGGATAAAGTTGCATTGTGAAATTGTTTTGCTGATGTTTGTTGTTACTGGGCGATAGCCAAGAAGATGTGGTGATAATACATTTCAGATGTCCATGATAGTGGGGGAATGGTTGCTTTCCATGAGTTTGATGAGGTGGAGCCCATCTGGTTACTAAGGGAATCCAGGAAAGCGCCCCCTGTCTTTTCTTCCTCCTCCTCCTGACGTAAGGGCGGCACCTTCCTCGTGGAGAGGTAATGGTGGATAAACAGACCACCATAGCTGTAGAGACCCAGTGCAACTGTTATAAAAACAAATAGCACTGGAGAAACTCAGCAGGTCTTGCTGCCCACACTTTATGTTTTTACTTTAGACCTCAGGCATCCCCAGTAAATTGCTTTTATTTCAGTGGAATGTTGCTTGATGAGGCTGATTGCCAGCTCCATGATTCTCGGGGATGCTCCATGGGTCTCACTGAAGGCCAAGGCTCCTGGAATGATGGGATAGCAGAATGGGGCATTTAAAGAGGAATATCTCCTGGCCCCAGCTGCCAGCCGCTTAAGCGACTGGGTATGGCTGACTGGCCTGGAATAAACGTATAGGGGCTGTTACCAGGAGAGCGGACATTCACTGAAATGATGGTCTTGGTGATGGTTGCATTTATCAGGTGGATGTCTTACTGATCGTCTAGCTCTCCCCATTATCACAGGGGGTTTGTGGGTTCTTGTGGTTGCAGTGTTTGCCACTCTGCACCAATGGATTTCTCACTCTTCTGGTGAGATTGCATATCCTCTCGATCTGTTTGTTCTCCCCGAGTGAGGAGATAATGAGTTCCCTCTTGGTGGGTTCATATGGCCTCCCTTACCCCCTTACACACATGGGGAAATGTTGCCAACGTTGTCCAATTCTGCCCGGGAGAGCAAGAAGCTGGAAAACAGGCACAGAGACAGCATTGACTCAGGGTCGGATAACAGCAGTGGAATTGCTCCTTGTAACCCTCTTGGTAACTGTGACCTTCCTCCTCTCTCTTCACTGAGCTGTATATCCCGGTCATGTTAGACCGAGATGCCAGGTATTCCTCTGCCCAGACTGAAACACCTCCCCTTGTTGACTGGCCTTCATATAACATGGCTGTGGGGCCCAGGATGCAGCCAAACATGTCACTTTGAAAGCTAGTCATGGTTGGGACACACCCTGGCAAACATGCCAGGTTTTCAAACAGCTACCTCCAGTGGAAACCAGTCTCGTGCTCCTAATGTTCCATTATCTTTGTTGAGAAATGGAGCCCTCTCTTAGAGCATGTGGTCAGCAGCCGGTCGGTGGATTATAGTTGGTCAGGCGATGTTTACTGGGGCAGAATATTAATGCTGACAGACCATAGGGCTCTTGTGGCAAAGTGACAATGTCCCTTTCTCTGAGCCCAGATTCATGCCCCCCCCCTCCCAGCTCCAGCAGTGTTTAATAACATCTCTGGGCAAGTTGGTTTTTCAAAATACCTGCAACCCTGAGAGGAAAACAAGTAAAATAATGCAGACAGAGTACAGGGTTTCAATGATATAGTGGTAATGTCTGTAACCTCTGTGCCAGGAGACCTGGGTTCCAGGAGTGTGGAATAACGTCCCTGATCAGGTTGATTGAAATATCAATTTGGACAGATCTTAGTTTAGTGACTCATTTGAAAAAGTTTCCCCATGACTGTGCAGGGCACCCCATTGTATTGCACTGGGACTTGAAACCCCAAATCTCTGACTCAAAGATGAGCCATTGCTCACATAGGAGCAATAACACTTTGGGTTGCTGGCTAAGAAAAGCAGGTCTTGATCTCTTCCACATTTACAAATACATACTAGTTGACTCATAATGTAAGCCTGTTCTTTCACTTACTGATTCATACTAACGCTCTCCCTCCTCTGGTTCTGTCTCCCAAGCATTCTGTTTTTACTATGTGCTGCATGGGACTTTCCAGGAAAATCGCCAGGAGCTAATTGCATTTGTCCTCTCCATTTTATTCGTTGTGATCCGATCCATGGTGAACTTTGTTACAGCGACACCAGTGGAAAGAAACGAACTGAAGGTGGGGGCCATGAATGTGTTCTACATAGTGTGCACCCGGTACCTGTCTCCTCCTCATGTGTAATTAAAATTAAGGCCAAGGTCAGATCAGCCATATGCCAATCAGTAATGGAGCAGGCTTGAGGCACTGAATGGCCTATTCCTGCTCATGTTTCTAATGTTTTTACATTTTGTTCAAGGCACTGACTCAGGGATCTACCTAATGAAGCTGGATGCAGTGACTTGTACAGAGTTGGATTGTTGTGTATATTGGATGCTCATTGTTATTGGGTGTAGCCAC